CTGTGGTGTTTTTTTCTTGTCCTCTTCTGAGCATATTAATGCGATTTGCTGGGTTCAGGGCCAAGCAGCTCCCTCTTAATTCTCTCTATGGGACCCTCCTGTAGAACTTGGCTTGTTGCTGTTGCAGTCTGCAGTCTCCGATAACGTAGGAACCGTGTTCCAACATATTAAACTTTTAACATTCGCAAGATTCAATTAATCTTATCTTTACAACTCCCAATTATAGGCACTAATTAAGTGAAAGTAGTGGAGTAGACCAAAGGATGTGGCCTTAATCATTGGCTTCCTTATAGCCATAAGTTAGTCCTTTCCCAAATCCTTCTGCGTATTCCCCGAAGGAAGGGAAAGGTTCATTTCCTGGGTTTTTTTTCTCCCCTAAAGGGTTGTTAATCCCACAAAGGATTGTTTGGAACTGGATTAATTTAATAATTTGTTTCATGTTAGTGATAATTTTTAAAAGCAAAAGCTACCCAGGCTTTATCAGAAACAAGCAAAACTAAATTATTTGATAATTACCCAGTCTAAAGGATCGTTGTGTCTTCAATTAAAAGAGTTGTTGGTCACAGTAATAGATTTCTTCTTCTTTTATAAGATTGGCTGCTATATGATGGTTTTCTTTTCCTGGAATTTTAGTTTTGCTTTGTTTCTGTTTTAAGCTTCCAGTTTAAGTCAGTTTGAACACTAAATCTTCTGTGCAACTTTTCTTCCTGGATGTCACTTGTATATTAGATTATTTGTCACAGGATCACTTCAGAGTGGGGGGAAAGTCATTCTAGGCTAAAGAGGGAATTTGGGATGCAATTTCTATCCATTCATTTGAGTTTCGAAGATAAGCTGCTGTTTTCAGAAAATGGGGGTGGGTCTCTACTGTGAGCCAGTTCAGGAGGTTATGATGGGAAGCCCAAGCACTTGGGGAGCTGGCCTGCTTGAGAAGAGGAAGACATTCTGGGATTTATTGATTTATTAGTTATTTATTTCTTTGGGCTTCTATGCTGCCCCCTCCCCTTGAGCGACCTCAGGGCAGTGCACAGCAAATTCATATAAACTACATATAAATACATTAAACAGTCTAAAATCAAAATCCATAAAAACCTAACATCTGTATGGCACCAGAATAAAAATTTCTGAACCCCTCCCCCATCAGCATAGGGAGAAAGGGGGTGAAAAGCAGTTAAAAGCTGGATAGTTGTTAGAACCACTAAGAAACCATTAAAAAACGGTTGCCATCCTCAACCACATGCTTGGTGGAACATCTCTGCCTTGCAATCACTATGGAATTGTAACAAGTCTCGCAGGGCCCTGATGCTGGTAGGCAGAGAGTTCCACCAAGTCAGAGCTAGGGCTGAGAAGGCCCTGGCTCTGGTTGAGGACCTCCGGATGCTCTTTGGGCCATGGACTTCCAGTAGATGTTGGTCTCATGAGTGTAATGCTCTCTGGAGGATATATCAGGAGAAGTGGTCCTGTAGGTATGTTGATCAAGACCAAAACCTTGACTTGGAGCCAGTGTGAAGCACAGGGTGTATATGTGCAGTTATTGGTGTCCCTGTAAGGATCCGGGCCTCTGCAATCTGCTAGCCCCACATAGAGTAAGCCTAGAGGTGACCATTGCATGGATTACTGTGGCTAGGTCAGGGCAAGACAGTAGTTGGAAAAACGCCAGCCTGGCAACATTTGTGACCTGGGGTTGGCTCCCCAAACCTGAATCTCCCCCACCCAGCTAGAGAACTTCCATCTTTGATGGATTCAGTCTCAGCTGACTCTGTTTCAGCCATGTCACCACGGCTTCCAGACCATAGTTCCCTCTAAGCTGCATTAGGGGGTGCTGGCACACAAAATTTTAACAGGCATCTCAGGGCTTGTGAGCTTCTACTCACAAGACATTTTTCCCTCCATTCGGTTTTTTGAGGAGAGACATCAGCAGCTATGCTGAAAATCTGGTGCCTCTACCTCAAAAAAAGAAGAAGCATTCC